ACAAAGCAAATCAATGAGGTGAGGGTGAGCTGCGCAGTATACTTCTTCAGCGTTGCAGCCTGCCGTTAATCATTAAGCCATAATTTTCTCTTTCAGCACCCCAAAAGTAGCATAATCTTTAAAACAATAAAAAAATATACTAAAGATTTCACCTGGAGAATGAAAAGAGAAGCCCATGCAAAGGTAGCTATGATGAGAAGGAGCCTTTAACCCAACCCTTATCGGCAGCCATGGCGGCAGCTGGTGCAGGGGCTGATTGTTGAGTATGAATGTACTTCGTCCAAAACAGCTCCACAAGAGGACCCTTGTAGAGTGTCATCATCATCGCCCCAACTACAGTCACAACAGTCCCAACAACCTTAGCTTGATATATCACCTTCTTGAGGTTCAGCTTCTCCATCCTAAGTAAGAAAAAAACTCAAACTTAGTAAAAACTTCATTCTCAACAAAGCGCAAATCTCTATTCAGTCTCTGCTCTGTCACCTGCAGATCACTGCCATGACGAAAGTCATGGCAGGAAGCATGTTGCTCATGGCACAGGAGAAGGTTGGGGAAGTAAACTTTAGCCCGGCATAGTAGAAGTTCTGGTCTATCACTGGTCCAAGCAAGGCCAGCACAAATATTTGCAGGAACATGGTGAATGTGATTTTAGGTCTAACTTTTCTGTCATTAGAAGCAAAAATTGGTTGAGATTGATGAATTTGAGCAACGAAGAAGGATTGAATAATGAAGCGGAGGAAAATGATGGAAACCTTTCGAGGAAGAGAGCGAATGGGGCGATGGAGAGAGTAGCGAAAGCATGACGATAAACAACTAGTACATAGTGGCTCATTCCATGGTTGAGTGAGACTTTGGTGATGACGTTCATGCCAGCGTAACCGAATTGAAGGGAGATCATGGCGATGTAAGGTTTGCATCTCTGAAAGAAACTGTTGTTTTTACCTTGGCTCAACTGACAGGCCATTTTCTCTTCTTCTTCTTTCTTTATGCAGAGATTGGATTTGAGTACATGAGAAGAGCAAACCTGACTGGTAAGGGAAGCTGGTTCTTGTGCTCTTGAGGGAATGTGGTGATAGCCTTAGCATATTTATAGTAAGGGGAGCGTGCTCAAGTGGGACCTAGGGATTTTTTTCTCAATACTCCCATGGAATGTTCTGTCTCTCTCTCTTTCTATCTCGCTCGCACGCACACACGAATTTAAGCATCAAATCATAAATTTGTCCTAAGAGTTTTTTCATTACAAATTAAAAAAATGGAAAATTTTGAAGGTTTAAATCCACAGTTGCTTTTGGCTGTTTTTGAAGTTGACTTCAGAGGTTCGTTTAATTTAAAGGGCAGGGATTAAGAAAATGAAAGTGGTAAAAAAAATTGAATTTTTTGTGGGCAGTTTAAGAAAAAAAAAAATTGAAATTTTTTGGTTGTGAGAATTTAAAAAGATAAATATTTTTCTTCTGAGGTGGAGAAAAGATTATATTTTTATTTCTAATGAAGAAGAGAGATGCAAATGTTAATGAAAATTTGATAAAATTTTTCTCTCAAATATTTAACTGAAATTAATGAAAGAAAATTAATAGAAATTTTTTTCTTTTTCATATTTTTAGTTGAATTTAATAAGTTAAATTTAAAGTATAAACGAATAATTAATAAAAATACTATTAATTAATATTTTTTAACTCCTTGAAATAAATAGAGGTAAAGAAGGTAAATAATTAATTAGACCTAAAAGAGTAGGGGTTCTGTGCTCTGCTTAGTTAGATAATCAACCATTTGTTTATTATGTTTATGTTCAAATTATAGTAAAAAAAAGTTAATAATAATCAAATGTGTTTATATATATATTTGGATGTACACTCTTGGCCTATCACATGAGGTTTACCTCACATAAGTTCTCCAGGTTCTTTCTTCAATTTGTCTACATAGTCTCTATCTTATTTCTCTCTTTTTTTATCCCTCTTTTTCTAAGAATCATTCCAACAATTGAAGTAAGAGAGCTTTGGAAAGAGACTCTTAAGACAATCATTAGCCAGACTGGCGACTCCGACTTTATGAATAGAACCGAAACACACCTCAAGGGACCTTTTGTCACGGGGTGAGCTACCTGTCAGATTACGTTGATTCACCATCCGCCGAACAACCTAATATCATTCTGGCAATATAAGTTCCTCATCTAGGAGTCAATAGTAAAAAACATGACCAAAGCAGCTTATTGAACCAAGTTCAAACGATCGATGATCAACAAGAACCAATCGACAACCCACAACTCAACATAATTTGATGAATGAGCCCTGCGGAACCAAGACTCGTTAATCTCAGCTAACCCAATGATAGGGTAGTCGAAAAACAAACTCATTTATGTAAATACTCAAAACAAACTATAACACTTCCATTAAAGCAGAAGTAAACTTGTAATTCTATATATTGTACTCTTTTTATCTATAAATATGAGACAATTCCATGAATAAAAGTTCATAAAAGCCAAAGATAGTTAGAAACATTACAACTAAAAATGCCTAAGTGCAAGTTGATGATGCAAAAAATGTTAGTTTAAGACTGAATAGCTAGTTTCAAAGTGATATATATATATATATATATATCTGGGTGTGCCTTTGGGATGGATTCGGATTCAACACAAATATATAAGAATTTTTGGTTATGCTTGTACATAATGAATGTCTCGATGTAAATGAACGGAGATAACATTAAATTTCATATTTGTTCTTTTATTAATATTTTATCGGCAAATATTTAATTATATGCAAAATAAAATAACATAATTATTTGGTTTCTGTGCTTCTTTCCATGCCCTGGAAAATAACTGTTATATCATTTGAAATAATATAAATTCACCTGCCCATTTTATTGGAATCAAAATTTGATCAAAATATTATAAACTAATTCTTTTTCCTGTAAATGAAAGCAGCGCTATGACAATCGAATCTAAAGTTGGACCAAGCACTTATAAAGAAACCTCCCAATAATTGTACAAATTTATGATTTCATTTTCAAATTTTGCCTGTGAAAGAGGAAAAAATATTACATTAGGACTCCTGATGTAATCGGAGTCTAATGGTGGGGCGCCACATGTCAAGTGGACTCCACAATTTTTAACACCGGCCAACACCAGTGTATAACGGTGGAGTCCACTTGACACGCGGTGTCCCATCATCGGACTCGGAATGCAAACTACATTAAGAGTGCTGATATAATATTCTCTCGTGATAGAGAGCAAGAACAATATTTCATCGGAGCATTGAGAAAAAATAATAAATTTAAAACCGAGTATAACGTTAATATAAATTAAGATTTTCGATATTCCAAGATATTAATTCATTCACGCTTTCATTTGTGGCTCAGTAGTTTTTTTTTCTTACTATTAAGTTTTTCATGTTGCTCTTTAGGAAAATTTCCATACATATCACTCATTCTTATGTATCTACATATCTAACATCCAAACTTTTTTTTTATATAATATGCCAACTATGTTTTGCATTAAAATATTAACTTTTTTTTAATAATAATATTTTTTATGTGATATGAAAAATTTGGATGATAACAACTAGGAGAACATGATATAATAAAACAATATATATATATATGCAGAGATTGGATTTG